GTTGACCGACTATCGCCTGGCAGCTATAGGCCTATAATCCCCACTAGCGTGCCGTGCCAGGTGATGGAACGCATTCTGAAGCGAGCCATCCTAGATCACCTTACTTCCAGCAATTTGATATCTCCAGCTCAACACGGATTTCTCCCAAACCGTTCTTGCGTGACAAACATGCTCGTGTTTATGGACAGCTTAACTCAAGCCAAGGACGAAGGACTCATATCGGATGCCATATTTTTTGACTTCTCAAAAGTATTTGATAGGGTCCCACACGTCCCGCTGCTCCACAAACTCGAGTCTTACGGAATTCAAGGGAAAATCCTTCGCTGGATCAAGGCGTTCCTATCAGACAAATCATTCCGAGTGAGAATAGGCTTGAAATACTCTTCTCCAGCGCCGTTCTCCATTGGAGTTCCTCAAGGCTCCGTCTTGGGACCACTCCTGTTTCTGATCTACGTGAACGACCTCACGGACGTTCTTGCGAGTCCATGTTTACTTTTTGCGGATGACTTGAAATCCTGGAGTTCCAATGCCAGTGCCCTCCAAATGGATGTAGACGCTGCCAAGCAGTGGTCGTTGGACTGGTACCTTCCTCTGAATGATGAAAAGTGCGTCCATGTGTCGTTTGGAGGGGATTCAGCGAATGCCTTTGTTATGCATGGTGAAAAGGGACCAGAAAACATCATGAGGATAGATGCCAAAAAAGATTTAGGCATCTGGGTCTCCTCAAACTTGTCCTTCGCACTACACCATGAGAAATCGGCCCAAAAGGCATTTGCCATTTTACGGATGATCCGACGCCCCTTCTCCCGTATCACTCGCATGGATTTCCAAATGCTCTACGGGGCCTACGTCAGACCACCCCTGGAATACGCCAACCAAGTTGTCTACTCAGAACGTACGAAAGACATCACCCTCATTGAGCGTTTCCAGCGAGCCACTGTGAAAATGGTTGCCGGTCTCAAATCCGTGGACTACGGAACGCGCCTCAATATTCTTGATCTTTTTCCCCTGGAGTATCGCCGCCTCCAAGGAGACCTAATTCTTACTTATGCCATGTTTGAACAAAGCTTAGCAAACATGTTTTTCCGTTGACCCAGCAAACATACGGCGGGGACATAGTGAGAACATTTCCAAGCTCAGAGCACACACATTCATTTGACAAAATTTTTTCTCATTTCCGAGAGTAGGTGCGTGGAATGGTTGTCCACGCCCCCTCTAGAACCCAGTTTTATGCATTATTAGACACTTATTTATGCGAATCCTCGCGCTGGCAGGCACACTGCCCTGCGCTAAGAACATAAAGAGCAGTGCTATACCCTTTTTCATTTGCGACTTTCAGGTGAACGACAGCCACTGACCGGCAAGAACAAAAAGTACCCGGGAAACTTGGGCGAAAACCTCAGTCCTGCGTATCAATCCGTGAATCCGTGAAATCCGTGACGGAAATAAAACCGATTCGGGAAATTCGGGCTAAGGCTTCGATTCGTTGTATCAATCCGTCGATTCGTGAATCCGTGAGGGATCAGCGCATAAAAGCCGCTGGCTATTCGCACAATGAGATTGATTTCTCGAAATCTACGGCTTTTTCAGACTTGCCACTTCATAGTGTAGAATCTCTATGTACAATGTATATGCTCCTGTATTATTGAAACTCTTTTACTATGGCCTTTTGTTTAAATGAACGAAATCTCCAGGTCAATAAACACCGCCGACTGTTAATACGTTACCTGATGATAAAAAACCGCGAATTGTGGAAAAGGTTGATTCACATACAATGAAGGTAACTTTCAGGTATTTTCCCACCGGAACAGATTTCCTCAACATTCTAGAATCTAAATGGCCTTTGGCGATGCAACAAATGCGTAGGCCCATTCGTGCTAGCAAATTTTGGACGATTATTCTTTGTTGCCAGTAAAAAGTCCGTAGTGCACGCCAATTATTTGCTAAACATCGTGCACGTTGGCTGGCAAAAACCAGAGATTTCCATTATAGGTTGCGAATTATGGTAGAATGACCCCGTGGTTTATTGATTAGGATCATGGAACATACGTCAATCATAGCGGACAGCTAAACGATCTTAACCGACGCACACGACTAACATGCGGCTAGGGGTACACGATGCTTCATTAACTAGCCACATAGAGCCTACGTCAATTATACCAGACAGCTGAACGTTCTTAACCGACGCACACGACTAACATGCGGCTAGGGGTACACGATGCTTCATTAACTAGCCACATAGAGCCTACGTCAATTATACCAGACAGCTGAACGTTCTTAACCGACGCACACGACTAACATGCGGCTAGGGGTACACGATGCTTCATTAACTAGCCACATAGAGCCTACGTCAATTATACCAGACAGCTGAACGTTCTTAACCGACGCACACGACTAACATGCGGCTAGGGGTACACGATGCCCAACTAAATAGCGCACCCATCCATCTGCAACCGAAAAAAGGCTCAAAATGGACGTCATTGAATGTTGATATATATTGCTCGTTTTGCAGTTTACATATGTCCTTCTGTGAGGCGCATTTACTTCTTCGTGAGGGGTGTTCATTTGGCCGTTGAAGTCCTGAAATGAGAGGAAGATATAATTCAAGTTATGGAAATATCACTATAAGGCGGGCGGCCGACAAACTGTTAGAGATACTTACCCCAAAATTCACTGCAGCGACTATGCTGTCGTAGATGCTTGTTCACACATGCCATATTCAGCGGTTATTTCGCATGCCTGTTTACTGCATCTCTCAAGAAACACAAGACTTACATGAAATGCATAGGACCTCATTAACAGACAAAGCGTCGGAATAACGCTATCTGCTGCCATCGGGAGAAACATATGTGGCTATAGTGACCTTCCTCTCCCTGACACACAAGGACGCATCGGTTCCCCCAAAGTTTTGCCAGGACCGAAGGCATAGCATCTGCTACAATGAACCCCAACCATTCGGCACCTACTCAACATAGCCGGTCGACACTTCCGGCGGTAGTTGTGTATATCCTTAGTTGTAAGAATCTTTCCGAATTCATCCGCCACAAACTGCCGCACCTCAGATGACGGCGTTCCATATCCCAGCAACGAATGGCATGCGCCCAACTCGTCTTCTGTTAGGCGTCGATTGACTGGAGGCCGATCGTACAGAAACTTTGACAGTTTGTGGTTGTGTTCCAGAAAATAAGACGTCACTGCCAGTTGGTTCCTTTGCCTCCGTAGACAAAACCGCACTGGGCAGCTGGTGCTTCGCGTACTTTTTTTATTAGAAATTACGCTCGGCTTACTAGCTTCTTCGGATTCCACGGCTTTCCGTTTTTCTTGGAGGGCGCCTGCTGCATTTGTAGTACACCCATTCGTAACGCAAAATAGTGTTGGTGCTTCGATTACTGGATGAACGCACAAATATCACAAAGTTATCCTTCATGTATTCATTTAAGGTCTTCTCAAATGCCGTGATGGATGGAAACGATAT